TATTAGAATGACTATTAAGATTAATATATTAATATAACAAGATTAAAATGCAAATCACACTCTCAATTGTTGAGCTTTTAATGATCAGAGGGTTTAACGACAATAACCGTACAATTGCAGTGATGATTACAGTAATCGCTCACAGAACCAAGGAATATACTATTATATAAAAAAAATATTATTTTTAAGATTTAATATAATTTAAATTAGATATTAATGATACTAATACTAACCGTTTCAAAGCACCTAAACCACGAGATCCAACTATTAAGGCATTTGCATTTAATTCAGTGACCTTACGAACGATTTCCTCGCGTGCGTCTCCCTGCATAGCTATGGCTTTGCAAGCAAACTATAATATTGTCGAATTAGATGGATTTTAAATAATCAAGTATATACACATACAAATTATACGTACATCATGACTTTTTAGTTTCTCTGCAAATTTTCTTAAAAGAGTATGACTGTTAACACGATGCTATGACAATCGTAATTGAAATCCAAAAATTTAATATTGTTATATATTATAGTCACACAAATGGAAGATCTTATCTACCCATCCCAATCTCAAACGTAATAAAATTGGAATTTTGGATTTGAGTTTGGTATTGGGATTTGGGGTGAGTAGTTTTGCTAGCACGTATATGTATACCACAACTCACCTGTTCCTCTAAACTCACTGCAACTTCAGAGAGATCCATATAACTAGCACCAATAGTTGCTAAAGATTTACAAAGTTAGTTAAACATAAATTATACAATTTAGCTTCTTTATTATTGTATAAAACTTACCGTATGGTCCAGGAGTCGTTGTAAGCGGTCGTACATTGACTAGTATAACCTTAATTATTAAATATATGAAGTAAAATCAGTTTTTATAAATAACCTGACAGACATTATACGTATAATCTTTACCAAATCGCTATCTTTTCTTAAGAAATTTTTAACTGCCCAATCGAATGCATTCTGACTATGCTCAGATTGATCAATAGCAATTACAACAACACGAGAGACTTGAGTTTGTAACTCTGCGTCTTGAGCACTCGTGATGACTGTATCGGTGGTTACGGATGAGTCTTGCTTTTGTGTCATAGTG